CGGAACGCAAGCAATACGCAACAGAGTAACTTTTGCTTTATTTTCGTAACACCCGCTCTTATTGGCTAAAAACTCACTGCGTTTCATAAGTGACGAATGAAAAGTCGCGTTATAAAATAGCAGGTCACAACGCATGCGCTCACGAGTTTTTAAAAAATGGTGAGTACACGTGACTTTTTCTCGCACTACAAACACTGTTTTTTTCATATTTCGGGATATTTTAATAATATCAGTTAAGTGTAATAGGTTCAGACATCTTCGTATTTAGTTAAGCGAAATCCTTTCTATATGTTTATGCGTATTGAGGGCAGACAGTGTAGTGTAGTTGATTGGAGTACAGTGCACTCGCAGTGAACATGCCTTAGTGTAGCCCTGGACCCATGTCGTTGTGTCGAGCGGACGATATTTACATTGGTCGCTTGTCTGTCCGCTCTACAGCGACCAAATATAATAATCCCACTAACAACGCCATGGATCTAGGGTTAGCATTAGTGTAACAACACCACGGTCATTCAGTCATGTTAAAATTTTACGGAGTGTGGACAAATCCAGTGAACACAATATAAATTCAAAGAAAAGCTTACAAAGAAGTCCCGTGAGCTAGGGTATTTGTGACATGAGGTACAAATAAGGAATATTGTATTTACCGGCCTATGTTAGAAGCACATCTCCAATATACATAAAACATGATAAAGTAACAATTGTATTGAATGTAATTTGTATTTGCATGTAGAATCATTGTCTTATTTTGACCACAGACTTGCCTTTGTCATTTACATTTTAGCAGATGTGCTTCTAATGGAACAAATACGAAATTCCAAAATATAACTGCAAGCAGTGGTCAAGTTTAAAGCGCGGCAGTCGTCACGCTGCGCATATGTGACATTTGTGTTGATAAACATTAATTTTCCCACAATCCAATGCGCTCTTCTAATGGAAATCAAAAGTATGAGGTTTTACCTGAGTGCGACTTGCACTATTAATAAATTACTGTCTGTGACTCCTTCGATACCTTCCAACCACCTAAAAAATACCTAACGTAAAATCTGTATTAGAAGCCGCATCCCCAATAGAAGCCGCACCCATTTCTTTTGAACAATTGAGACCCAAAAATTCACCAGGTAGCATATGTGTAGATGATTTAATAGAAGCCGCATCTCCTCTGTTGCATTGTACCATTTTAATAGAAGCCGCAGCTTTTAATACATATTTTACAGTACTCTATTAAAGCTTTGTAATGTCTCAGTTTGTACTCGTTGATCTGCACAACAGTCAAAGTCGCCATCTTTGTTTATATGAGACCGCAGTCCCTCTATAGAGGGACTGTGATGAGACCCATATATCTCGTGCATGTGTGGCGCGACGACCACCGCCCTTCAAAGCAGTGAGCTATAAATAATGGTTCAAAATTACTATATGATTTAACAATTATAAATATTTAATGAAATCATGATCATATATGATGGCTTGATATTGTTGTTATTTATCTTGTCCAACAACACTAGTGCAAGCTGCACATGGATGTCCCTACTCGTATCTGTAACAGTACTCAAGTTATTACAGTTAGGCATATTAGCCAGATCACATGACCACATATGTTGATCATCTCTTGTCTGATGCCTTCAGTATACATTGTAGAACTGAGTGCACATCCCTGACTAAGACGGTTCCTGAGATGTTACAGTTATGCATATTAATGAGGTCACATGACTATATATGGTCATCTGATATGCTAGTCATATCTTTTGTCAAATGCCTCTATTATAGCATAGATGCTTGTCAAACGTCCTAGGTGAAACAAATTGATTTGGGCATCAAGGATTTATTCCTAACAAGATGGAAAGGTGAGGTTCATACATGTCATGATAACCGCACCAAAGCAAATGAGAAAAACAAACTGAGAACTTATCGGCTAATCAAATCAGATTTAAACCTTGAGCCATATTTAGTCAAGCTAAAAAACTTTGAACTGCGTAGTGTGCTTACCGAAGTTCGTTTTAGTGACCATAGTCTCATAATTGAAATGGGTCGCCATAAAAAAAATCCGATTAAACAACAGGGTTTGTGACATGTGTAACAAAGGTCTAATTGAGGATGAATGCATTTTCTGCTGGAATACAACAAATATAATGAGTTGCCTACCAAACTGTTCAATAAAGCTAAGGATATGATCCCAGCATTTGAAAATAAACCTGCAGAGAAAAAATTCATGGAATTGTTACAGAATGAAAACGTTATTATACCAGTAGCACAGTTCATAAGTAAAAGCTTTGAAGTCAGGAAGCAGGGTCTTACCTGACATCTTAATGCCTGCTGTTAATTTAGTAATTTCATATTAGTTAGTATTTTAGAGATTTTGTATTATTTAGTAATTTAGTGATTGTATTTGTTATTTAGTATATTGTTTTTATATATTTTTTTTCCTTGTACTTTGTGACAATTTTCTTTCCTTCCGGAGATAGTGTAAGAGTCAATAAGTAAATAAATAGTATACTAGGTTAGTTTTGTTTATGGTGCTCCTAAAGCTAAATTCAACCAGTGATGCATCCCAGGATTTATTGTAGTAACGACAATAAATAACTTGATCAACAGAACAAGGTGTCGATCAGTATATTCGATCAGAATGTTTCAGCATTTTCAAGGATTCATTTTGAATTAAAATCTCATCAAAATCAGTCTTGTTACACACTGGCAGTTTGTGGATGGTTTGGGGTGGTGGATGTTGTGTTTGTAAGAGACTGCTGTGCCTTTTACACACTGACATTATTTTATGCCGTCGGTGTAAGCTATGCAAACATATGGCTGTATAATATGCTATGCAATTCCCATTCAGATAACAAGAATTGTGAAATGTTCACAAAATAGCAAAACAAATGAATGTTTCTAGAAGTACTTGTGTAAACGAGTGAGTCTGTGAAAATCACCTCAAGGTTTACGTATTTGCGGAATGTGTATTTTGTCACTTTTTAAAGATGGCAATAACCTTGCTAATTTCTTAATCAAACCTTTCCAAGCTGCCCATCCTGAGATGATATTGTTCAGCAACAAGTTTGACTGATTTGTGATGCAACTCACACTTTATCATACATGGATACAGTGAATTTCATGAAGGCATGCATGTTTTTTATGGTAATTTATTAAAAAAGTATGTTTTTTTTATCAGCGTTAGAAGCTTTTCGATAATGCTATTACCCATGAGTGTTTGCAGGTTTCTTTCAGTCATTGGCTGATCTACTGCTATGCATTTTTCAATGAGACTGGTCAAGTTGGTCATTTTCAAATTTTATAAAACATTTATAAATTTTTTATATAAAAAACATTCATTGAAATTCACTGTATGAAAATTATATTATCGTACCTGATATATCCTTGATATAACAGATTTGAGCATATGCTACTATC